TTTACTGTACTTAATTTTGAGTCGTTATATTTGAATATGAAATCAAAATTCGTTACATTTGGGCTTCCATATTTTAAATATGATTTTAATTCCGTGCCTGCATTTAGGCTTCACCTTAACTATTATGACGAAATATATGTTATTAGTAAAGGAAATAATAGGAATGCTAATTTTTTTTCAAAATTTTAAAGTCAGGCAGACTTCAGTATTCCACTAACTTTAGTCATAAAAAAATCTTGGTAAAGTACATTGAATTGCGGATCCGCAAAGCTAACGCAATTTAGATGGATGTCCCCATCAACAGACCATTTTGGTCCTAATGATGTTTTACTTAAGACTAACATTCATAAGTTAAGTGGTAAAAGAAAAACATAAAACAAACTAAACACTCACTGGACACTAATAATAATAATAAAAAAGAAGATCTAGAGTTTTCCTCAATTGTTCGTCGCTTCAGAAAAGACCTCAGTAAATCAGCGGCGTAGCGCAAGGCGAGGGATATCGTAGTCGAATACCGAGGCGACTCTATTGAAGGTCCTTTGAATGCCATCGATAGCGGTATGTATCCCATAATTTGTCCGGCGTAGAGGTGAGCGCAGCATATGCTTGTTCCGTAGGGCGTATATGCTTGTTCCGTAGGGCTGGACATTTATGGCGATATTTTGCAGAACGGCGGGGCAATCGATTCTGTTCTGAAGAATGTCTGCTACGTAAAAGGCTCTGGATACGTTTCATCTAGACCGCAGCTGGCAGCGGCTCTCGTAACTGGGCAGATGATAAGGATCACGCCAAGTTAGCCTAAGCAAGGCAAATCTTACGAACCTTTGTTGTACAGATTCGATCCTTTCCGAGCCATTGAGGTTTACTGGATTCCACACTGCAGAACTGAACTCTAGAATTGGGCGCACTAAATAGCAGTACAGCGTTTTTAAACAGTATACGTCGGTGAAGTTCTTAGCTATGCGTATGATGAAGCCCATTGTTCTTGGTGCTTTATCAACGATGCACGATACGTGTTGCTTGAAGTATTGTTGGGTATCCTGTATAATTCCAAGATCCTTAACATGACTGACACGGTCGATTTCCGCTTCCGAGAGGGTATATTTGTAATTAATCGGTTGCTTTTTCCGTGAGAATTAAATCACTGAGCATTTGCTTGGGTTGACTACCATTCGATTCAGTTTAGTTGATTTTGCAAGAATAGAGTATCGGCAAATGAGAGGCCCTTTCAGCACTAGGTTCACGTCGTTGAAGTACAACAAAAAATAACAGCGGGTCTAGGTGACTACCTTGTGGAATTACTGACGTAGCCTTGAAAACGTCCGATTGGCAGTCGCCGATAGTCACATTCATCCAGCAGTCGTTTAGATAGGAGTTGAACCATCCCAGAAGTAAGCCATTAACTCCTAGTCTGTGTAGCTTTGCAATAGTAATACCATGGTTACTCTTGTCGAATGCTGCCGATAGATCAGTATAAATAACGTCTGTTTGAGTCCGTTCTGCCATGCTCGTAGTGATGTGCGACGTAAGACCCAACAAGTTCGTAGTAGTTGAACGGCCGGGTACGAAACCATGTTGGGCATCGCTCAAATACTGTTTACAATGAGAAAATAAAGGCTCAATTACGACCAACTCAAACAATTTCGAAACAGCATACTGATAAGTGATGCCACGGTAGTTATCGATATTGTGCCTACTGCCTTTTTTGTACACGGCATATTTCCAACACGGTGGGAATATCCCACTAGATAACGACAGCTGGAACAAATGACGAAGTGGTTGAAGTGATGCAAAATTTCATGACACTCACGTGACACTCGTCTTCGCATCAACCGACTATCGCTGACAGATCGTTTTGTCACGCAGTGAGAGTTAGAGCCATGGCAAACAACAATCACCAGTAATGGTCGCTGCTCAAAAGCAAAACGTTACACTCGCTGCTGATGATGAAAAGCACAACGAAAACAGTGAAGACTTCTGCAGTACGATCATCAGAAAAAGCGAAACGACAGAAGAAAATCAAAACAATGCCTACGCATTCCAAGTTCGTCTCGTCAGGCGTGACTGTGTGAGTTACAAACAAAGCAGGCACCATGATACGGAAGCTGTTGGGTTAACTCACCAACACACTCACATAAGCAAGCAAAGCAGCAACTGCTTCAAAACGAGCACAGATGAGTGTCGTGATTGTCGGGAATGACCAGATCGGTGATGGATCACAACAGAAGACGACATTCATCAGTTGCTTTTTACTTCTTTCGTCAACTTGATGGATGGTCATGGAGAGAGCTTCGACGAGCACATTGATAGGAATGAACAAAGCGTTACTACCATCAGCTGGTTGGCGATAGTGATTGTGATAGGTCGCAACTCTGAGTGGTTCTTCAGGATAATAGACGGTATTCCGTCTGGCCCCGGATTGTGGGCTGACTTAAGCCGGTGAGCTGCTTTGATGATCATCGTGTTAGCTACATCAATTCCTGCAAAGGTCTGTCCGTGTAATGGTACGTTACTGACAGCAGCAGAGACGTGCTCATCAGATAAATTTTCCTCTGTGAATACGTTGGCGAACTTGACGGAAAATAGATGACAAATTTCTCCCGGATCGGTAGCCGTTTCCCCTTCCAGAACCAACGAAGACGGAATACCAGGATCCTTGCGTTGTTCGTTCACGTACTTCCAAAATGACTTTGGTTTATACTTGAGTTTGCGTTGGATACTACGTTGAAAGCGTGAATAGCAACGTTTACTGATTTGTTTGAACTTTTTATTGAGTCTCACGCAGTGGTTCCTGAGTGAGAGAGTGCGGTGCTTCGTGTACGCTTCACTATTTTCAGTCGCCGTAGTTCAGTGGATTGCCATGGAGGGTGTGTTCCAGTTCGGTTCACTTTTTTCGGCACGTATCTGTCAATGACATAAGCCATAATGTGAGAGAACGATTGGGCAGCTGCTTCGACATCGTTTCTATCGAGAATAATGACCCAGTCAAGCTCGGAGAGAAAATCTTCAATACCGTGGTGATCTGCGTTCCGTTAGTCATAGTAGACTGGGATCGGAGAAATAGCAATGGCGCACGATCGTCTCTCTTCCAGTGAAATAACAAGAGGGCCATGATTTTCAATAGTGGGGCAGGTGCAACAGAAATATTCGGAGCAACATCCTGGACACTAACGAAGCAGCTAACGCAATTGAGCCTTCACAATTGAATGGATTTAAAAATAAGCACTTCAACGTTTGAACTACAAGCTTTTGAACTAATTATCAACTACTCTATCAGATGCTGCCCAAGTAACAATTTTGGTTTTATGAGGGTTCTGAAGACAATGATTTAGACTTGTAGAATGCTTTAAAACCTCGATAAAACTTGAAATGATACTTGGGTGCTTTGTTTGCCTGTATCATTCTTAATCGATGGGAACAGACATTTCAATTCATTGTTTACATTTGGCACATTGGCCCTTTCCATATGTCCGTTTCGACTTAAGATGCATCGATTATGGGCTTATCTCACCACTCATTTGGTCACATCTCAAAACAATTGCACTTCAACTGCAAACTAACATTACTTCTCAATTTTGGAAATACCTACATACTCTCATGATTCACGTTTTCAATAAAATTCGAAGTTTTCAACTATGTGTGTAGTTGGATTAATAACCCTCAAGCAGTGTAACTATCATTTACAACAAGGAAGTAATTGAATTTAGATCCATCCTACATTTAGCACACCGTGCGTTCATTATAAGTCCTTTATCCAAATATGCTGCACCAGTAAGCTGATATCTTATTCATTCGAAATGAAATCTAACTAACATTGAACAAGTTGCGGCTTGATTTGTAACACTTCAGCGACTGTCAGTGCAAAACATAAACAAACATTTCGCGTCTGAAATCCGGTGGAGTGGTACATGATAATTGCACGGGCATCTATTTCAAGGCTTTAAGTTAATTCTTAACTCCATAAGGTTGAACAGCTGCGGTTTGATAAAAATGAAGCCGAAGTTTTTGCGCTTCTTGTTTGATTCGTACAGCTTAAGCGTCAATTTAATTCTCTTAAACCATTTGGTTTGAGCATTTCAAGATTCATTCTCTATACGAGAAAATAATGTATGCCGTAAGACATTCCATGCTTTTATAGGAGTATTATAGCCACCACCTGCCTTCACACGTTTACAAGCGTTCTCTCTCATATCAGCCAACAAGAAAAACTGACATCTTCGAAAGATTGAAAAATTGCACTGTTATTAATTTAATTGGCAACCGATCCCATGTCCAATCAATAAGTAATCCACCGAAGCTATGCCGCACTATTTGTCGCTTAATTTTTGCAATTTAATGTTATTTTAAACGAAAATCACTGTACACAAAGTTTATTCATTTTGGCCGGTTGTTCTTTCTTTGCCTTGTCCGTGAGATATAAATGTGTGGCAATGGCAACGAATTGAAAGGTGGGAAGCTGTCGATTTCACTTTGAGCAGTCAGAAATTAAAGGCTTTTGTTAGAATCATAGGATTGGATTTCAAAATTCGTTGAACGCTCAGCTACACGTTGTCTTTAACGATCCTTGGTTGACTCTTTTCCTGTGATTAATACTATCTACCAATTGTAAGTATTGCTTTGTACAAGTATAAAACTACTTTTCTATCTTAATAAGCAAAAACCGGCGCACACTTAATTAGTAATTATCAAACTACACTTGATACGAATTTCCCCCTTCTAAAGGCACCTCTTCCGTTAGTATTTCACATGGAGTTACAATGCACTGTAGTTATCCATCGCCTCCGCATGTCGTTAGGACGGGTTTAACTACTTACACTACAACAAACTTAACAAATTAGGAAACACACAACACGCGATCGTTTAGTAATACGCACACACTTAAACCTAATGAATTAAACAAACAAAACAAAACAAAACAAAGAACAATCAAGCAATGTCCGCGGCTTTCAAAGCTTGGTAATCGTTAGTTTGTTGCGGTTGCGGAAAAAGCTTCGCTTTACCTTGTGGGAGTTGAAGGCGGACAGGGTGGCCAGGGAGCCGAGTGGTCCGTTCGGGCTCGGCGTCGGGCCGCAGCAGTTGACCGGCAAACCGGCGATCGGCATGGCGCTCTTCTGCTGGGACAGCGACTGCAGCTGCTTCGAGCGTCGTCTGAAAGAGATCCTTCCGTTTGTAGAAGCCCGGCAACAAGGGGTGGATAGTGTGTGCGTGTGTGTTTGTTTTTTTTTGGTGCAGGATGTAATTATTGTCGAAATGGAAACGTGCAATTTTTCAAGGGGTGGGGGGGAAGGAACAGATAATAAGTGTCGTGAGTGTGTTTGAAATAATTTTGATTTCGAAATGTGCAAATCGAGTAGATAGGTTGGACGATTTCAGCTCAACATTAAGGTCATACCTGCTGGCAGCGATGAATACGATCACGGCGACGAAGATGGTTCCGCAAATGGCAGCACTGGCTGCGATCGTGATTTTGTCCATATTGGATGCGGGCGATGCGACGGTTCGCACCTCGCGACACTGAGTGTAAGGCACGCTATCGGGCGACACGTTGATCTCCTCCAGCGAAACGACACACACAATGATGCACTCAGCCGTGGGGACGTTCTTGATCTTGAACTCCCGCTCGCTGGCCTCTAGTGGCGGTCCCTGTTTGAAGTTCTTATCGCCGAACAGGCGATAAACAACACGGAAGCCTAGAATGTTGGCGGTGTCCGAGTCCCACTGGATGATGACTGAGCTGTCCTGGCGGGAACTGTTTGAGAAGATGGTCGTTAGAATGGTGGGAAATTGAAGGGGATTGGGAAGGGGATTACCTGAAAGCATTTTTAACTTGAACCTCTTTGGAGTCATCGATCTGAGTGCCTCGTTGTGGTGGGAATCCCAAGACCAGTGGTGGTCGTTGTTTGTGAGGAGGAGAATTCTGGTTGCTTCGCCAGTTGTTTTTTACGCTGGCTTTGGTGGTGGTGGTAGTGGTGGTCGTTGCTGACGCCGTCGTACTCTGTTTGGTTGTAGCCTGCGTCGTAGTTGTCAGCGTGGTACTGTCGGTGGTTGTACTCGGTGGTTGTGTTTCTTGGGAAGACGACGAAGACAGCGGGGTGGTTGTCGGTGATGTCGTTAATAGTATAGTGGTACTGATGAGGGTGGTGTTCGTTGCAAGTGACGTTGGAGGCAGAGTGGTAAGGACAGTGGTTGGTCGTGGACTGGTCGAAGTGGTTTTTGGAAGTAGCGAATCAACGACGCCCACAGGGCCTTCGATACTGACTTCGGCGTCCGGACAGGTTAGTTCCTCCGGTTGGATCGAGTAGAATCCGCGATCGCGGAAACGGTTCGGAGACCCGCAGAACTGTGGGTTACGTTCGCGGGAGGTGACCTGGAAGGTGGGGGAAATGTTTTACGCTCGATTCGGGAAATCAGTCGAAGAGGGACCTTACCTGTAAATCACCATTCCGGATCCATTCGGCGACCCAACGGAGCTTGCAGTCACAGTGAAGGAATCGTCCTCCCAGCGATAGGCCTCGCAGGGTTCGATTCAGATGTAGCAGAGCTTTTTCAGGCACTGTCGGAAGGGGGTTGCCATCGAGGGCGAGCAGTGTGACGGCGGGATTGCCGCGGAATGCCGTTTCCGGCAAGGCAGTTAGCAAATTGAAACCAATATCGAGCACTCGTAGCTCACGCAACGAGTGGATAGCACCGACGGGAAACTCCGCTAGTAGATTGTTCAGCAAGCTCAACGAGCTCAATGTCTTCCGGATACCGGAAAAGGCAGTCTCACCCAGACTTTGGATAACGTTACGCTCCAGATTGAGCGCGGTCAGTGCTTCCAGGCCTTCGAAAGTGCGCATTCCAGATGGTCCTGGCAGTTCGCGGATACCATTCTGCGATAGGTCAAGGAAGGCGAGCATCTTCAGTCCGCGGACTGCTTCCGGAACTCGCTTCTGTTTCGAACCTTTCAGATTGAGGTTCTTCAAACTGTTCTCCAATCCTCGGAAAGCGAACGGAGCTAGGGTTACATTGTTATCGCTCAGCTTGAGCGTAGACAGCTTCGTCAACCCGTTGAAGGCATCGTTGGGAATGGTGTGTATCCGATTCTTGGATAGGTCCAGCAGATTTAGAATGTTTAGAATTTTAAGCGCTCTGATCGGGACCTCTTCCAGGAGGTTGTCCTGAATGTTCAGATTCTTCAGGATATCTTCCTGGCCTTTGAAGGCAAACTCTTCGATTCTACGGATCTTGCAACTGCTCAGCTGGACGTTGTACAGCTTGAGATTCTCGAAGACGTTCGATTCGAGCTTTTCGATGGTCGAGTTGTTGACGTACAGTAGATCGAGCGGCGTCGCCTGGGCGTACTTATCTAAGGCTTCGACTAATACGGGAAAATCGACCTGAAACGGTGAGTTCAGTTAGCCCAGCCCTGCGTCCCGTAAACAAGCGCATACTTACTTGATCACATTGCACGGACAGCTCCTGTCCGAGATTATAGGCACATAGACATGAAGTTTGCAGATCGGGGACCTCCCGCTGCCAGGGGCACTGGGCCATGCTCGAGCTGACGAACAAAATCGTCGCAAGTAGCAAGCTTAGATTGACTTGGAACATTTTCGTTATCTGACCTTAAATACTAGTTAACCAATGATAAACAAGAAAATAACAACACTACAAACTAACTAACGGCCACACCCCCACAGTGGTTGTGAGCAAACCAAAAAACAATCAAACCGAACAAAACTACTGTTGAATCCGACCGGCCCGCGCCGACTAACTGATAAATATTATGCCGAGATCGGTCAACCTGACAGGGGATCTCATCGGAAAGTGATAAGCTGGGAGGCGTGATTTGCCGATGGCGCGTGCTGCATTTGATTTGGTATGGCTGTTGCGTGACTTTTTTCGCGCTCTATTTCGCGACTTGATCGCAAACCGGGAGGCTGAAACGCGTGGCTGACTTTGTATCTGTCTTAATCGCTGCTGCCGATGCTACTCGTCGTTATGCTGATGAAGTTGTTGTACAAGTAGCTGCTGACGGGGTGCAATCTGCAATGAGGGAAGAGAAATAAATAAATCCGTTAGTGCCTTGCTGCTTCTAAATATGATTGATGATGAGTTCGGTTTATCGTTTGTCGGTTCTTCTGCTTTCGAGCGGATTAAGAGGGAAAGAGATCATGAATTGTGATTACACTACTGTGTGTGAAGTTCAATGCGGTGGTGGCTCGTGTTTGAGCACCCAGGATCGAGGTCAGCTATCGAAACGTGGTCATCAATTTCTATTAAAGTAAGAACCACTTTCGCTAATGGGGTTGTTCCAGGAGAGGGTGGCGAAAGAAAGCGAGTACCAACTTGACCTGGTAGAATTCTGGAAGGACGTCAAGTGCTCCTCCGTGGGATGCTCGATGATGTGGCGGCACACGGCGACGGCGATTATATGTCACAGTTTTTAATCTTCGTTATGTCTTTCATGCTTTTCCCGTTCCCGTGGGGATCAGCTGTCGGGGGGTAGTAGGAAAGTTGACGTTCGTTCAAAGCTTATGATGAGATGAGTGATTGGTTTGCCAATGATGGTGGAAAATGCTCCTGCCACAGACAAAGGATGAAGTGTTTGACTTTAAAGCTTTCTCGGGATTTTCTTACAGTTAAATCGAACATTTGAAAGGAATCCGTCGTGGAGAGCTATTAAAGTGGATTTAAATTACCATTAAATAATCTTAAGCGTGTCAAAGCTATTGAAGAATTGCGTTTTCAGAGACAAACCAGCCAATTACGGCTGAAAGTCTCTATAATAAAGGAAATAAAAATGCGTTTTCTGGGCTATTTTCACGGTTTTAAGGATGGGTTTTCTGACCAACTTTACATTTTCAACCTATGTTTGCGTTTTTTAAAACGATTTTGGTGATTCCAAAGTCAAATTGGTGTTATAAAACCATTTTGGTGGACTTAGCCCATTTTGGCGTTTTAGAGCCTATTCGGCATTTTTAAAACTATTTTGGTGTTTTGAAAGTAGTTTGACCCTATCAGGATATTTTGACAACTATAGTGTCTCAATTTCAGTTTAGTGTTTCAGATAATTTTAGCGTTTCTAGGCCATTTTGGCAATTTAAAGACCAATTGGCGATATTAAGACATAATGACGTATTTTATTTAGGCCATTTTGGTGTTTTCAAGGTTATTTCAATCTTCGTAGCACTGGTGGTTTTGTTTCTACCAGTGTGTAATGGCGAGCTTGCCGACAGTGTCCGAGGAAGTTGAATGAGTGTGCTTTCTTGTCAAAACAATTTTCGTGTTTTTTGCCTGTTTGAAAAAGCACTCAAGCACCATCACTTATGAAATGTGTTTACGATATAGCCATCACAAATTCAATGTTGTATTCTTATGGCTTATGATGTTTTCTGATTATATACTAGACTGATGCAAAATTTGAAATTTTCGCTCCACAGCGCTCAAACTGTTTCAAATCAGGTCCTGATTAGCCCCTCAAAATTAAAACTCATTTGGTAAGAAACTGACTTGGCACAAACTATTCGAAGTTTGTATGGAAGTTACTATGGGAAAACCAAACTTTCTGTCCTTTGTCTTCTACCCATTTTCCATATTGTTTTTTTTTTCGAAAATTTCTTAAACTATTCCTTCGGGAAATTTTCTAAGCTACAACTTTGCGTAAAACCGTTTCTCAGCCAAATGTCAAATTAAATTGTTATTAATTGTTTAAGAGATTGATAATCTTATGGCATGATCAGGCAGCTGTTCTGTGGGCAACACTGTATTCTGCGTCACATAGTAGCCATGATATTTGTGCTCTATTCTTCGCACCTGAAACACCAATGTTGCCTGCTGAACAGTTGAATGAGTATAATCATAAAACATTATTTACTTGAATCATTAATAACTTTTGTTCCTTACATTTGATTGAAAAGTAGTTTTCAACAAAGTTGTAGCTGAGAAAATTTGCAATGCAGAAAAAAATCACTGCAATCATTTTTAAAAGCAAATTGATGTGGTGAATTGTTACATAGATATGAACAAAATCATAAGTTTTCTCATTCCCATATAAACTTGAAATGGTTTGTGCCAAGTCAGTTTCTTACTAAAGTAGTTCAAATTTTGGGAGCCTAAGCATTGCCCAATTTGGAACCGTTTACGCACTGTGGAGCTAAAATTTCAAATTTTGCATCAGTCTATTATATACGCATTCAAAGTTTCATATACAAAGAACTAAATTGTTTGAGTTTCATTCATTTTTTTCTACATTCCTCAAATTAAAATACTGAAGTTCGGTCATAAAACTAAAAAATTGTGCAAATGCTTTAATTCCAATTAAACAAATTACTAACAAGCCTTTGAAAATGCTGCATTAGATGAAACCTGTATCTGTGGGCTTAGCAAATAAGGTTTATTGCTCTGTCCGAGTTTGATTTCGTCAATGGAGCGTAGCGACGGACAAGTGACCGTGATTATAGTTTATTTCTCATTGAATTCTTTTAGAGGCTTGTAAAGGGTGATACGGTCAAAATTTGGTCAAGGGAAAACGCGTGTAAATCGGTGATCGTTTATTTAAAAAATCAAATTAAATTTCTTTTTCAAGTTCAATTAGTATAAAATTCAGGAAAAATATTCAGTTAGGCTTCTGCTTTTCCAAATCCGAATTGCCGGGCCTTACGCTTGACCCCTGCCATCAGATTTTGTACAGCCACCTTGTCCACCTTCTTCGCCGCAGAAAGCCAGTTTGCCTTGAACTGCTGCTCGCCCTTAGCAGTTTTTTTGGTCTTCTTTAGGTTCCGCTTGACAATAGCCCAGTATTTCTCAATTGGGCGGAGCTCTGGCGTGTTGGGAGGGTTCTTGTCCTTGGGAACCACCTGCACGTTATTGGCGGCGTACCACTCCATGGCCTTTTTTTTTGGCCGCAAGATGCCAAATCCGGCCAAACAGTACGGAACAACCGTGTTTCTTCAGGAAAGGCAGCAGACGTTTATTCAAACACTCTTTCACGTAAATTTCTTGGTTGACAGTCCCGGAAGCTATGAAAATGCTGCTTTTCAAGCCACAGGTACAGATGGCTTGCCAAACCAGATATTTCTTTGCGAACTTTGACAGTTTCATGTGCTTGAAAACATCTGCTACCTTTCCCCTTCCTTTTGCCGTATAAAACTCCTGTCCCGGAAGCTGCTTGTAGTCGGCTTTGACGTACACACTTAGAAATACCTAATTTTACACGTGACGGAATCCATCTTTGACATAAAGGATGAGACGTAAACAAACATGTCATGTAAAATTAAGTGCTCCGAGACTGAAAAGTTCGGTACTCGACGAAAAGTACGTTTGATTGAGCTGAGTTTTGCGTCTATTACGACTCAATTTTATGTCAAAAATGACGCTCGTATATGTCAGTCTCAGAGCACCTAAATTTACATGATTTTTTTTAAGTGTGTAGGTTTCGTCGTCCATTACCACGCAGTCAAACTTCGTCAGCATCGTCGTGTACAGCCTCCGGGATCGCGCTTTGGCCGTCGTATTTTGTTTATCATCGCGATTTGGAGTCACTACCTTCTTCTAAGTCGATAGTCCGGCTCGTTTTTTGGCTCGATGCACGGTTGTAGACGATACACCCAGCTTATTTGCGGCATCTCGGAGAGAGAGGTTAGGGTTTCCCTTGAAACTACCGGCAACTCTCTTTGTCGTCTCAGCGGCTTCCGGTTTTCGATTTCCCCCCGATCAAGACTTCCTGGCTGTCGACAAACGTTCCCCAAACACTTTAATTACATTTGTTACGGTTGATTTGGCAACTTTTAGCGATTTTGCCAACTTTGCGTGCGAGTAGCTCTGATTTTCGCGATGCGCGAGCAAAATTTTGATACGCTGCTCTTCTTGCTTGGACGGCATTTTGACAACTGAAGAGTGAATTCCAAAATCAAAATAGGAGCAACATTCTACACACACACACCTTCAAAATGAGGGGTGTTCAGGTTTTTTAAATGCAAAATTGAAAGAAATACGTCAAGTTGACATTGACCAAATTTTGACCGTATCACTCTTTAGAAGCATTTTGAATCTTAATTTGAAGCTTTCAAAAACTTTCAGCAACTTCTTTTGGGAGTTTCATTCAGAAGGTGCTTTTAGAAGCATATTTTGAAAGTTTTCACAAAAAGTGTCTTTAGGGAAGTTTTTGATAGCTTAAAAAATGAAAATTAAATTTAAGCTTCGAAATGAAGCTACTTAAATAAGCGTCTAAATTTAACCACTCAAAGGAGCTACTAAAAATTTCTAAAAGCTTTAAAAAAATGCTTCACAAAAGCCTCAAACACCTCTACAAGAGCCTGCAAAAGCTTCTAAAAGAAGCTAATGAGCATTTCAATTTTTCGCTTGCCCGTCGCTACGCTCCTCTGAATAATAAAAAAAAACAATGGCAGTATAATAAACGTGAGTAGCTACGTCTCCTCTATCTCCTCTGCTAATTCAGCGTTTTTCAGTGGATGGTTTTGCGAAAAAAAAAACATGTGGTTAATGGATCGCGAGAACATTTATGAAATTTCTCAAAATGTGCCGCAATCAATGAAAGTTCTCCAACCGCTCGCTTTAGTTGAACGGCTCTATATTTCTAAAGATTGTACTCGAAAAAAAAATGTACAATTTTCTTTAGCGTATAACTTTTTATTGCATAGGTAAAAATTGATTAAATTTTGAGTAAAACTAGTTTAGAGTGCAATGTTTACATGTGCAAAATCTCGTCACAATCTGTCAAGTGATTATCGAGATGGCTACCAAGCAAGAAGTGCTTCGACAAAAAATATGGGAACGGTCGTGGAAAATCTAGGCCAGTCCCACAGGTGGATCGCGAAATATTTAGTTGGAATCGACAATTCGACCGTGTCCCGTATGGTAAAACTGTTCAAGGAGACCCAGACGACCCAGCGGCGAGCCAGGTGCTGGCAGCGGAAGAAAAGCGAAAACGACCGACCGCGTGAACGCAACGAAAGTGAGGGATTACTTCAAGCGCAATCCGAACCTTTCGATTCGGGACGTGGCCAAGAAGGTAAATTGTTCCG